ACAAACATTTTCACGTACTATAGTCACCGACTTATGCTGACTTTACAAACATTTTCACGTACTATAGTCACCGACTTTTGCAAATTAATGGCATAAAGCCGACTATTCTATCCATAAAAATCTATCTAGTCTATCCATAAAAACGGAAATAAATTATCTTCTTTTTTATTTATACCTTGTTGCCTAGTTATTCGTTAGGACCAGTACTTGGATTTATATAATTCCAAAAGTATATCTTCTCGTATACACAATTTGCACACTCAAGTGGTGACTGCCGATAGCTGCTGTTTGCGAGATAAAGATGGCGATATACACTACATTTTTTCATATTAATTGATATACTGATCCGCACCCAAAATCGCCACAAAAATCGCCTCAGCCTGGAATATTTAGAAAATAAATGTACAGCATCATTGGTAATATAATCCTCAAAGTTTATTTGAAACATAATCAACATCGGTTACACTTAAAAATATATAATATGGTTGAATAAAATTGTGCAATTCGATTGGCTTAGAAGTGGTATTTATCCTTAATTTATCCTGATCATAAATGCACAATTCTATCCAATCATGTTGCATGTTTGTCACTTGGAATTTGGCTTAAAGTAAATACCCAAAAAATTTCCATCGCTCGTGAAATTTTGTTTTACAATTTTGAAATTCATCATGTATGAGCGGTATTTATCCCAAATACCACAAACTTGCTATTAACTATAGTAGCGCGTGGCTGTAATGTACGCATACAAAAAGTGAAAATGCGCTACCTATCACGATGTCATGCAACATTAGTCCGGACGTTAGTCACATGACTGTTTCTCTCTCAACTTCACCTTGTTTCTTCATCTGAAGAACGCCCATTAAATATTATCTTAATAATRGCTTATATGTAYTCAGCTACCATGCAATATCTGCTTGGTTACCTATGGTTAAACATTCATTAATACACGAGCTATTGTTAAGATAATGATTTAGCAATCTAGTAACTTGAGTCAGTATGACGCCTGTTAAGATATAAAGTAAGTGAGTTGTTGCTCATCTTGGTACGCCCTTGTATATTTATTGGCCTCCCCAAAACGCTTCCTGGACAATGTCCTAAGTTTACCTTTAGTCGCGCCAACCCCGTGCACTCTTCCACTTAAATATACAACCCCCCGGGGTGGGGTGGGGGGGGGGGACTCCGGGGTAAAAGTAACGGGGATGCTCGTCGGAAATTTTCAAAAATACCCCTAAAAGATCCTGGTAGTCTTTAAAAAAGGCGTAGCTGACTGATTTTTAATCCATAAGAGATTGCACTACAAATAAAATATTAAATGACAAAACAAAACAAGGAAAATCAATATCGATGCGCTCTGCAGAAAATGCAAATTTCCAGAAACTCCAAATTAGAACCCTAAAAGATTAAYAATCACGAATTTTTACCCCTAAAAGATCCGACGAGCATCCCCGGTACTCTTCAAACCGGAGTCCCCCCCCCGGGAAACAACCCACTCATACCCACTCATAACGATATCGCTTGTAACAAATCAGTTGTCAGTTAGTTGTTGTTTCTACATGTAAACCCTATTGGAGACAATAAAAACCCAAGACACGTATCAACATCTACCACGAGTAAACCCCAGTGGCTAACAACCACATTGACAAGAAATTTGGTAGAGCGCGTTTTACTAGCCTAGTAAAGCAAGCGAGTGGCAAACCAACTTCTTTCGCAGCAAAATATTTGTTGCAAGTTGAAAACGTTTGCTGCAGAAGTAAAAGATGGTTCTATTATTGCAACAAAACTGCANAAACACTATAAATTTACAAGAAAAATACTTTTCTCACCTTAAGACTTTTATGCAAGCGAGCAATGGTTGAACCAAAACTCATGAGCACTTCTTTCGTCCATTCGATATCAGGCAACAGTTCACCGTGGACAAAACTGAAAAGCACTGCAGCAAACACGTTGTTCGTGTCGACTCCTTCCGAAACCTCCCTTTCATAATCCCTACRTGTCATGACCTTTATACTTTCGCGATTTACATTTGGTTCGAACATTCGGAAATARACAGTTTCGGAACCAAATGATGACATCTGTGGAACGGGGCAACGGATTTCTCTTGAACTTAWGAASAGYAGAACATCAATGAACACATTAAGGAGAKGCTTGTTTTTTGTCGTTACAGAATTGAAGACTTTCAAAACGAATAGCTGTTCTTCAGGATCSTCCTCTGGACTGGAGCTTTGAAGTTTTCCTTTCAAAATTAACGTTCTATCGGGATATTTTTGGAGGTCTATTATTTCATTCATTGCTTGTGGAGTTATTTGAAGAGAGAAMMACTTCTTCACCAGGTCAATGCATTGTTCTTTCGTGATCTGTGATCTTGTGCCTCTGTAGCGATCGACATGATCGTTTGCCCCTGTGTTTGGGTTTGAACCGGCTTGCTGATCAATACACTGCATGCCGCTCTTCCCCTACAAAGACCAATACGCCTCTCTCTTTAACAACAAGCAAACAAAACAAATAAAAAGACAAGAAGAAGTCTAATATATCAATTTCGCTCAATGACGTCAAATACGGGTAGCCCAAGCTCAGCACTTGATGTCTGTGCTCTTCAAGGTTTATATAGCCTGTGTACATCCGTTTCTCACCCCTCAACTCACCCTCAAAAAATCGGGGAGAGAACGTCTGTGATTTGCAGTTGCTAATCGTGCTCTGACCTAAATTTGCATATATAATGT